GGTCGAGCACCTCAGGAGCGCCTTGATGATGAGGTAGCAGCTCGGCCACGTTCAGCACCATGCAGATGGCCGAGAGGACACCATGAAGATCGTGAAGACGTCTTCTCTGTTGGCCTGGAGATGAAGCAGTCCACCTTGTTGGGCAAGGCCACTGCTCGCACTTCACTAACCGGGGCATCTGGAAGCCGTCATAGACAAAGTACAGGGCGTACATGAACCCACCCTCAAAGATGAGCCTGAAGAACAAACTGCAGGTGTAGGTCCACCACAGCGGGCCTGTGATTGGCAGACGCCTCTTCTTCAGTGTCTGCAGTTCAGTATCCGTCATTCTCTCTGTGCCATTGGAGGCGAGCATGGTCCTCTTATCCCCACGTTTCCTGTAGGCGACGTGCATGGCCACCAGCAGGGCCGGTGTGGAGACAAAGATCAGCTGCAGGCACCACAAGCGGATGTGCGACACAGGAAAGAAGTGGTCATAGCAGACATTTTTGCAGCCAGGCTGCTGCGTATTGCATGTGAAGTCTGACTGCTCATCCCCCCAGACGCTCTCAGCAGCCAGAACCAGTATAGTAATACGGAAGATGAAAAGGACAGAAAGCCAAATCTTTCCTAGACTGGTGGAGTGTTTGTTGACACCTCCAAGCTGGGCATAGAGCGCCCCCCAACTCATTGTGGCCAAGAGGACTCAGGAAGCTCACAACCTGTAGAAGGCAGGAATTCAGTAGAAGGTTAACACCCAAGAAAACCTAAATTCAGTGTATTGATGAAGGACATTTACCAGCATCTACCTTTCTTACAGAACTTGTAACTGTCTGAAAGTACAGAGTTGCTGTTGGCCTACAATTGCTTTCGTATGGCATTTTTAAGGCATTTTTACATTTTGAACAATGTGTAGTATTGAGTAAAAAAATGGACTAACAATAAATGGGACACAGAAGGCCAGGTCTAAGATAGATTAGGCATCACAGAGTCATAAAGGGCCATGGCAACAAATTTTATAAAGCTGTCACCAGTGTCTTAGATTAGGGGTTTTTGATACCATTTAGAGCAGTCAGATTATAACACACAGGCAACATGGAAAAGTTATTGTTATTTTATAGAGCACTTTGGCACACAAGTCAGAAATTACAGGAATGATCTCCCAGCCAACCCCAACCACCTGTGCATGCCATTGTCTGAAGAAGAATCACTGCTGTCTCTGTTCCCTACACAGAGAACAGTATATGGACAAAGTACTGGAACACCCCTTTTTTCATGGTGTGATCTTTCTTAAGCGAAATCTTGATGCTACAACATACAACTTAGACAACAGTTCTTCTAACAGTTTGGCGTTTTCCTCTTTCAATATGACTATGACCCCGTGCACAAAGCCAGCTCCATAAAGAAATGGTTATCCCATTCGGTGTGGAAGAACTTGAGCCGCTCAGAGCCCTGACTTCAACCCTATCCTACACCTTAGGGATGAACTAGAATGGAGATAGCCAGGCCCTCATGTCCAACATCTCTGTCTGACCTCAAAAATGCTCTTCTGGATGAACGGGCAACAATTCCCACAGACAAACTCAAAAATCTTGTAGAAAGCCTTCCCAGAAGAGCACAAGCTGTAATAGCTTCAAAGGAGGGTCCAACTCCGTTTTAATGCCTGTGGGTTTAGAATGGGATGTTACAAAAGTAATGCGTAGGTGTCCCAGTACTTTTGTCCATATAGTGTATTTTACTCTTAATTACCATTGGTAATAGTATTAGTTTATTAGTACTTATTAAGTATTAATAGTTCATTATTAGCATGATTAGCACGATTTTATGTACTTAATAAAAGTGAAAATACTGAAGTAGTAAGAAATGAAGTTGATACTGCATATTGGAATTAAATGTCAAAAGAAGAAGGCCAGGTCATTGGTTTACAATAAACCAATTTTTAAAAAATAATCTTTATCTTGAGACACTTAATAATCATTCCTTTCATATTTGCTATTGATGTCCTTAAAAACAAATACTTTCGTTCATATCAGTAGGCCTAATACCTTTAAAGATGCTGACTTTGCTGTATTAAAAGGCAATTTGGATTTTTAGATGCCATTCAATTAATGGGATTTTGCCTTCAATAAATGTACAATCTACACAATCTTTCTTTTTGTTTTCCCAAATAAAATAAGTATTTTAATGTCAAGATACGCCTGTTTTTCCGATCTAAATCATCTTAAAGTGGGATTACACACGTATTTAAAAGCCGATTTAATAATAGTAATAATTACTGTTAACAAAATTAGTTGTAGTTGTAGCCTTTTGTGGTTGTCATCTGCATAACTAGCTAGGCTTTTCTTAGAAATAAAAAATGCGCTGACATCACAAGTCTAAACCGGCTACACCTGCACTATAACACCAAGAACTCACCTGCCAAAAATGTCAATAATTTTCAACGACGGGAAATTCAATTAATCCTTTATCTTTTGTGATCTGAAGAAAATTGTTCCCCTCGCTCCAACTTTAGCTTTGCTCGTTGGAGACGAAGTTTGACCCTTCCCGTCTTAAATCTGTGTGAGACAGACGCACCTGAGTCCAGAGATTTTTCATCTTTCCTCCTGTAGACAGGGAGGGAGGGGCCAGGCTCTGGGTGGGGCCAGCCAGGCACCCATGGAAGAGATTTATTGCTTTCTCTTTTGTTCATTTGTGCGTGGTGACTAGTGTTTCATACTCACCAAGTAGAAGTTTAAGTTGCGTAAGCATTCCTTCGAAATAGAAAGCATCTTAATGGCTGAGTTAAACCTCCACCTCAAATGAACCACAGTGTTTTTATTGTAGGTAAAGGGCACTTGAATTCTCAAAATCTCATCACTGAACATAATTTGAACGTCAGGTTACTAGACAGATATGTTAAACCAGCTAATTTGCATTTATTAGAATAACTAATTCTAATAAATGCAAATTAGCTATACAGCTGGTAGCTTGATAATATTCGTTCCCTTCTCTTAACTCTTGATTTCAACTTAAAGTCTCAAATTAAGTCTCATGCGACTTCAACGAAGCTGATCATTTCTGCCTTTGGGGAAAAGTTGAAAAATGTGTTGATTCTGATGCATGCAGTTAATTGAATTGTCTGCATTACACAACAATGTACTGCACTGACATGCCCATTTTCAACCATCTGATATTATGAATAACATATAGCATAATGCTTTAAAAACACGTAGAAATATATAAATTGTGGCCACAAAACTGAACCACAGACATTTGTTTACAAGGTTCACAATTTTGGTACCTCTGACAACTGCTTCAGGCTCTCCCTCACATATACAGTATACTGCATATCCAGTATTTGCACATACTGTACACATACATACACATTGCATTGAAGCTCTAATTTATATAAACTTGTGCAGCTTATCATATTTCATAGCAGTATAGGCCACACAGTGTGATCATGTGATGGTCACTCTGGGCCTGATATCAAAATGAAATCTGCAACATGAGCAGAGCAGAAATGTCACAGCAGTCCTAAGTAGCACTTGTGACATGTTTCTATTCATTGTTTTCAAGGATGCAGGACCTTATCTGTAACCATTCAATGTTACACTCATCATCGATTAGTTTTGCTAGAGGGAACAGAGACCACTCCTGTACTCATCCACACATATCCAATGTCTGATTTAATTAGTTTTACTTTCCTTCATGATTAGGACCAAACATGTTGTATTAAGAAAATATAAAAAGATATAAATGTATAATTGCATTGTTTTTTATTAATCAAAACATCATTTCAAATTTTTTTCACAGAATTCATTTACACAGCAGATCGTTACATGCCATGGAGCACCGACTCAGATGGTTGCTGTTAATTAAGTCCCTTAATTGCTACAAGATCAGTGTTGAGATCAAAATGCACACAGAAAGATAAAACTGTTTTAAATTGAATCCCTGCTGGTTAACAAGCCACAGTTATTTTATAAGGCACAAATAAGATATTTTTATTATCACTCCCAGCACATCATTATTATTATTTAAAATATTATTATTATTACATTATTATTCATTTTATTTAAATTGTTATCAAATGAGTAAAAGAAGTGTACTTAACAAAAAAAACCCTCTAATCTAATGTTTAAAGATTACTTTTCCTCAGTCAGCAGTGATAATCAGAAGTTTTCCTGACTCTGGGCCTTGCATGCTGATCTTAATGCTCCTTCTTCAGCTTTGCCAGACCCATGAGGAGCTGGTCCCTCCTCTCTATCCTGGCCGACAGATGCTGCTCGTCGCTGGGAATCAGCTCACACATCTCCTGTGGACAGCAGTGAAGGAAACATATGTGAGAAAAAGAAGAGCAAAGAACAGAAAGCTTTCAGGTGACGTGACCATCCTCTGACGGCCATGTTAGGAATCGTAAAACAAGGGATGTTTGCATTCCTAAAAATATGCAATAGTAATTTCAAAATCAAATAAATACAGTTTATTTCTCTTTATTTTTAACTTGAAACTGATTCTTTCTACACATTTTGTGTTTAGTCAGATAACTAGAAAATCACCACTTCGCTGCTGTAAACACATCTGATTTACATACTGGATAACATGTGTTTAGTATGAGCTAGCTCTAACACAGGTGTGCAGAGACCGAAGGTTAGATTCCCGCAGTCTCTCTGGATTGGTCATGTGTTTAGCAAACACAGTTGGCCGTGCTTGTGGGTAGAAAAGCTGGTGAGGGGTTCACATTCTTGTCTTTGCACTAGGGACTCCTAATGGTTGGTTGGGATGCCTTCACAGTACGGCTGGCAACACCAATGCATTACAAAGATAACATGTCTGTCTGCAGCCCAGAGTAGAGTAGGCTGTGATGAGGACTGCAGTGCATAGAGTAATGAAGATTCCAAACTGGGAGCAAAGAAGGGACAAATTGACAAAATGTAAAATAATGTTTAAGAAATAAGTGAAACTGGAATATGGCATGACCATGTGACATGACATTTATTTTAATTTGCAGCAGCTGTAAAAAAAAAGAAAGAATTGCCCAAAAGCGTTATTTTAATTATTGTTATCTGACCTGACTCTTCTTGAGCTTAGCAGTTCTTACAGTTCTTGAGTTGAGGCTACAGCTAAAAACAAGACTGCATGTCGATGGACAGGGTCAGGGTTATTATGCTACAGAAGGGGTTTGAGAAGTGTACTTGGTGATTTTATACTTGTTATCCTGTGACTCTGGGTTGCTGTTGGAATCTGGTGCAACTGTTGTGAATCCAAGCTGCTGTCCTCTTTGAAGGAGGAAGCAACAACTGTTTGAGTGCCACCTTTCAAACCTAAAAAGGGCTGAGTGTTAGATTTTCAAAACATTGGATTTCAGTATTCCTTTAAAACCGAAAAAGGCTACAATAATGTGGTGGGATTTCTTTTCTAACATGTATCACTACATGGAGTGTGACTCCTGAGTGTGAATCTGTATAACTTGGCATAAATACAACTGCAACTTGCAAAGGCAATTAAATTCAAAGTGAATGTTCTCAGTGACAAAATTACTCTCTTAACAACTACAAACTTGTGTACTAGCTTAGCAGGTTTCTAAGCGAAGCGAAACGCACCAGGAAACAAGATCGACTGCTGTTTCTTTCTAAACTGGTTGACCTTAAACAATTTAATGCACTTGCTTGGGGTTTCCACACACTGTGACTTTGGCTGACATTTTAACAGCCTGTGACAGCATGTGATTAAGTAATGCCTGAGTAGGAGAGAGCTAGCGCCGGGGTGAGAAGGAACTCTTCACTTTCAGTCATGCAGAACTAAAGACACATACCATCAACAAACATTGTCTTGTCTTGATTGAACCAGAAAGAAATCATAATATCTGTTTTGATTAAATGCATCTGATGTGGATAAACAAACTGTTTTGTAATTTTACAGTACATGAAGTCACAATGTCAACTTTTATGGCTCAGCGTTGCTCCATCATACTTACACTGACGATGCTCTTGGCTCCTTCACCGAAGAAGTCTGGAACAGGCCCAAAAGAGGTCAGGACCCTCCTTATGCCCTCTCCATACCGTTTCATATAGTCTTCCAAACCTGTGGGAGGCAGTTGGTTAGCACATGCATATGCCTCATAGCCCCAGACCCTCTCAGAGCAAGTTGCTGCTCCACTCCAGGAAAACATTGCCATGGTTCTCGGCACAAAACGTCTTCAAAGCTTCTCTGGGCTACATTTAAGTGAACGGCCAGTTTTTTCTACTGACAGACACTGGTTAAACAATTGACATGCAGGGACATATAATGCGTTTTGGGAGGTGTGCACGTTAGCTCCTCTGCAAGCCTGCCTAACCTATGGCTACCCGTAACACCCTTCTGTTCTCACACAACTAGTTTATAAATGCAGCTTACATTGAAATGAAAATACAGCTACATAAGCAATGATTCTAACAACTGTGATATTTAAATGTATCCAAAGCACATTTCCAAGGTCTTCTTGGACAGTAAATGATAAACAGTACAGGACACTGGAAAAAGATGGCAAGATACAGCACTAGCCTGCACTCATTGCACAAGTTTCACTGGTTTGGTACAATAAACGTCAGCAACTTGCTTGTCATACAAGTAATGCTATTTTCTGTAAATAATATTCATTGTAATAAATTATTTTCTAGACCAGCCTCAGTCTTTTGAACTTGCCGACTCCACAGAGAACCACAGAGATAAGTAAATATTACAGTTCTGGATGTCATAAAAAGACGCCATCCACTCTGAAATGAGAACTCCTCCTTGCTGAGACTGCATGTTGAATACCTTATAAAAAACTCTCTGGTCCTTTTATTTCTTAGTCAAACTTCAGTGTGATTCCTTGGAGTTATTTTCTCATTACTCACACTGATTAATCTTTCTTTATTTGTCATGTAGGCAACAGCTACTTTGGCTGATGAATGCGTACTTTATATAAACATCCTTCAGCATGCAGCCAAATGTTTGTGGATCAAACACGTAGTTGTGTCCCTTAATTAGGATTTAGAAAAATGACAATACATCGTTAATGATCTATGCAGCAACACAGGTACCCATAACAACCAGTGACTGGACAAAACAGCTCATAAAAAGGTTTGTTGACATTCCTGCGATGAGAAACATTGCAGGTGAGGACTAGAGCTTTGAAGCAATACAAATCCAGTGTGGAGTTATCTGAAAAAAAGAAAGACACTTCAAACAAGCTATTTAATGAAGAAATTCTTCTGTCACAACAAAGATCTAAAAGCGACATTATTCAATCAAATAAAGAAGATACTGAATATATTGCAAAAGCTTTCTGTCCTTTCTTTCACTTAAGTTATTCATACCAAGTTTTAGACCAAATATGTGATGATGTAGCTAGAAAACCTAAAATTTATAAAGTTTTTTAAGAACTTTAAATGTTGACACACTTAGTTGGACACACTATATATGGCAGAGCAGTGTGATAAGTACCATCTACCTTTAACCAAACACAGACTTTGTGTGGGAGCAAAGATATGAGTGTTATTTCAAGCTCTTTTTTCTTGTCATGCAAAACCTCCTTTGCTGTCATTGTTTGACTTAAAAAAAAAAAAAAGAAGTTTGTTTGCCATGCATCAAAACCAAGAATTAAGCCCAGTAATATCTCATATGGCTCTGGTACAAGTTTGACTTCCCAAGAGCTTCCTATAATAAATAATTTATGTTTACTGAAGACTTCTGCAGAGATTGAAAATGAGCAGATTATAGATTTCAACTTTGACAGGTACAAACTGATTTTTTTTTTTAGTGAATTCAACCCTGGAGAATCAAAATGTAAAGTGGTGATGGTCTTAGTTAGTTTATGGTAATTAATCTGGTATTTGTTTGTTTTAATATAAAGTATGTCTCAGTATAAACGTGGCAATGATTGAATGAATGAATGCAGCATTACCAGTCAGGAACCTCATAAGCATCTCACTTACTTCGCTTTGTCTTATGGTTTTGTGGATAAACAGTTTAGCGTTTAAAAAGGTCCACCCTTGTTTTTAGCTACAAAACTTTATACCCTTGAAATGTGGATATGAAAAGTTTATAGCTTGCTTCTTTGTCAAGAACAGCAGCTGCAATAAGCATGGAGTTACAGTGGTTACAATGGTTTCCAAATGTCAGTTTGACTGCAAAGAAAGTATCAGAAAACTGTCCATAGAAACCTCTGTTCATAGGCCACTTCTCTGCTTTCCACACACTTGCTCTGTATTTTCTTAACACTCATCGCTAGTGTTGTTAGCTAAACTTTTGTCTTATGCAACTGTTTTTGCTTGTTGGTTGAAAATGACAAACAAATACAGCTAACTGAGCAGATGACAAGTGTTTGGAGTATACTGAGAATATAGTTGATATTAGTGGAGAAGTGGATCATACGGCAATGAGCATCTTTAGAAGTTTCTATGGACATTTGGATGCCTTTTTGCCGTGAAACCATTTGAATCTGTGGTAGCTGGTGTGAATCCAATCTGATTACATAAAAAGACATGAAGAGCCTCTTTCAAGACTACAGGCGAAAGGTTGCCAGTGGATTATTCTTTTAAAAAGATAATGCTCTATTGTACAGGTACATGGTTTACAAAAGCAAAGCCATTCAGGCAGAGTAGAAAGGGAGACAGAGACAGAGAGCCTGAGTGCCTCAGTATCTGATTGGAATGATTTAAGGATGGGAGGTAACAACAGGAGTAGGTCTTAGCAATCTTTTGAGAACATGATCTTACAACTGTTTCCTGAGCAGAAAAGTGAGTTGAAAGCTTCCGCACTGTAACTACAGGTAAGAGTTGGCACCTGGCACTGTGAGTTTAGGATTACTGGTGTGAGAGAGAGCATTCATCGCTATCCATTAAAAGACTGCTTTGTTCTGAAGAAGCGTCCTTTTTCTGTGTGTGTACACAGTCAGGGTTATTCTCTGGGTTTCACACTCCCCTTTGACATTCTCCATCTCCCTGAGGTTTCACCCTCCCTCTCTGTCTGACACACACAGGGACGCCACAGTATCGTACAGTACATGTATATTGTGCTGAGATACTGCTGTCGCTGTTGACCACTACATTTTTTATGTAACTAAGGGCCGTAATGAAAGCTCATCGTCAGAATATGTTTCATGCTAATAACTTGATTTTGGCATGTTTACTTATTAAAGTACTTATTTTCAACAATACTGCTGGAATAAAAACTCATTTTAAGTATTTATCCTCTCGTTCTTTTTGTATTACATGCATATGAGAAAGACTGTGTGCAAAATTGATTGTCTTTCTTACCAAAAATTACATTTCAGTAAAATTATACTGAACAAAAATTTTACATTCATGTAAAGAAAACCTACACTTACACAAGAATTTGATGGGATCATCACTGACCTGAACAATGGTATTCTCTACTGCTTAGTATGTCTTGAAATACTAGAGTGTGGGATTTTTATTGTACCTAAATGTGAAATTAGAAAGCCCGAATACTCAGCTTGATTTATAATTACCCCTTTGGAATTTAATTTGTGATTTACCCCTGGCCACCTTTCAGCCACTCAAAATAAAGTAAAACCTGCTCAAAAACAAAAGCTTCAAAAGGTATATTGGGCGGTGACCTTCTGTTTATGTGAGAAAAGAGTCCAAAGAGGGAAGATTACCTTTAGGTGCATTGAGGTGCATTGTTTCCATGGGACCTATGAAGGCGTAACGCATTCCTAGCCCCTCTGACATCACCAGGTCGATGTCCTTGACAGAGATAATGCCATCCTAATGGAGAGAAAAACAGATACATAAGCTCATTTCACTGACTTGGTTTATATTAATCTCTATTTATATTCCCTCAAAAACACGAACAAATTTGTCAGTCAGAAAATGTATGACTGGATCTCCCTACAGCAGCTTTACAGACAAATAGTTTATTTATCTGTCAGTATAGTTCATTGGATTCATAAGGATTCATTGGTGCTTTTGCTACCTGAAAACAAACAGTCCTCCTGTTTTAAACCGGAGCACAAAAGTTAGTCTCAGGATCTAATAACATATTTTCCCTGGCAGTTAAACAAAGTCATGGCTTTTTACCCACAGGGATCTGAACCAACCAAATTCCCTTTGACCCCATTAGACTACTCCCACCATATGAAGTTTCCCTAATCAGCCAATTTGGTGTCCTCAGGATTATGTAAGCAGTACAGGGAGGAAAGAGGCTGAGGATGGAGGGATAGATGGAAGGAGAGACAAAGGGAGGGGTATCTTTGGGTTAGAGATACCTGTTGGCCGACCACGGAGGAAATCAAAGCTCGGATACAGAGAAAGGAGTGGGGTGAGCAAGAGGAGAGGCACAGGGTCGTCTTTGTTTGGGTCCTTAGACTAACAACGGGCCTGTTATCTAAGTAGAGCGGGACGGTGGGAGGGGTCTTTTCTCCACTGTAATCACTGGGGGCAACCAGCCGCTTTCTCAGCCACTCTGCTTTCCAACGCTGGCCCTGACTCAAGGACCATTTTCTGTGTGTTTGTGGTTTGGAGCGGTGAGGGAGGGTCCCTGTTATGTAAGAAGGATCACAAGGCCACTCTCAGAACACAGGCCTTGATGCTCAATGCCAAACCTCTGGTTTGATTTGATGTTTTGATCTTTTTTGGATTAATATTACTAGTTTAAAACTGAGATTCAGCCTTTTTGTAGAATATATGCTGTGTTTTAACACAGTCTGTAAGACCTTTGCCAAAAAGCACTGGTGATATAAAGAAGATTTTTTAGCCAGTCAGCTGGTGTTTCTGAGTGGTATTTTTTCAATTCAATGCCCGGTCACAACAAACAGCTTATTTTTGCTTCCTTGCAAAATCTATCTATCTATCTATCTATCTACCTACCTATCTATCTATCCAAAAATATAATCTGGTTCTGTTTCTGATAAAAAGAAAATCAAACTGACCCACAACAACCTTGTAAGTAAAGATAGAACTTCATTCATCCTGGGGGAATCTGTTGTGCAGCACTTGCAGTACAAAGCAGGAAAGAGTGCAAATATAAAATATCAACAAACAGATATCCAAAATCTAAACTGAAATAAAAGTTATATAACTAGCATAGCTTACAATCACTTGTCAACTTTGAATCATTCACCTAACTTCTGAGCACCCAGGTGTGTTTTAGACTTTAGTCTTACATAAAAAAGACAGAAATCACATTTTTGGAATGGGATAACTACTTTTTGTTGACCCCACATATCTTGTTGAAATATTATCGTTTTTTTGTTTATTTAATTGGAGCTTCTGCTATAGTATTTGATAACCCTCCTGGATGGGAGACTTCGTGTCAAGACAAAATGTGTCAGTACTGGGTCATAAATCACTTTCTCATGCTGCTCCCCTCCACCTACAGTGTAAATCCCTTAATTTAGACACATGGCAGGTCAGTGCGGGGAAGCTCAGGTCAGCTGGTTCATCTAGTTCACCTGGGGTCTGTACTACGAAACGGGATTTGAGGTTGGGGTGGTACCTTCAGGATTAACCCTTGGTTTTCAGTCCTATGACAGTTGTTCACAGACTGTTTTATACACTTACTATGCTGTGGGTGATTCTGAGATAGTTTTGTATTCCGATATCATCCTACAACCCAGTCTCATCAATCTGCGTACTGTGAACATGACTTGACACTTTCAAACCGCATACAGTGCATGCCAAAGTCCAATTTTGCGTGCAGGTGATACGCCAATCCCTCCCATTAACTTCTGTGGAGAGCAGATGTGTCCAAATACCACACATCACTTTGAACAGTAATGTCGTCACCAGCGAGACTCAGTTTGGTTAGGTTTAGGCAGCACAACTACTTGGTTAGGTTTCGAACACAGCAAAAAGTCCAACCTTGATCCAGATGTTTTAGCAAACTGTAGACCTATATCTAACATTCCATTTCTTTCTAAGATCCTTGAGAAAGCAGTCGCCAAACAGCTGTGTGACTTTCTGCATAGCAATAGTTTATTTGAGGATTTTCAGTCAGGATTTAGAGTTCATCATAGCACAGAGACAGCACTGGTAAAAATTACTAACGACCTCCTAATTGCATCAGACAAAGGACTTGTCTCTGTACTGGTTTTATTAGATCTTAGTGCTGCATTTGATACCATTGACCATCATATCCTGTTACAAAGACTGGAACATTTCATTGGCATTAAAGAACCGCTCTAAGCTGGTTTAAGTCTTATTTATCAGATCGATTTCAGTTTGTACATCCATGCACGCCAAGTTAGTCATGCCTTCCTTTAGGCAATATTATCAGGAAACATTCCATACAGTTTCATTGTTATGCAGATGATACCCAGTTGTATCTATCGATCAAGCCAGATGAAACTCGTCATTAGCTAAACTTCAAATGTGCCTTCAGGATATTAAAACACGGATGACCTGTAATTTTCTAATGTTCAACTCAGATAAAACTGAAGTTATTGTTCTAGGGCCCAAGCAAATTTCAAGGACCGCCTTTTTTCACCTACATAATATTGCAAAAATCAGGAACATCCTGTCTAAAAATGATGCAGAAAAATTAGTCCATGCATTTGTTACTTCTAGGCTGGATTACTGCAATTCCTTATTATCAGGCTGCTCGAAAAAGTCCGTTAAGACTCTTCAGCTGATCCAGAATACTGCAGCACGTGTTCTGACAGGAACCAGGAAAAAAGTGTTCTTAACGGGCTAAACTGCTGTCTCAGAAGGTGAGACAGCGAGGCATCGAGTGCTGTTTGAAACGGCTCGAACGATCTCTTCCTGTCTACTGAGATGCTTGCAAGCTGCCCCAGTAACGGCCAGTTTTGAAGGCAGCATCGATGGTGACTTGATGCTGACTATTACCCATAAAGCAGCACGGCTGCGGCCGCCAGAGCTTTTGAAAACTGGTCAAGATGGCAGACAAGCCGAATTTGTACATAAATAAATATATTTTTAAAAGTTTTTAGTAGTTTTTTTGCTTCGATTTTTGAAAATTTAGGGAGAACTAAACTCTGAACTATAATATCAGTCTGTGACTGTAACCAACCAAGTTTGTTCAGTATGATTTCTGAGGCGTCTGTTAGCCGTTTGGCTTTTCAATAGCTAGTTAGCTGATGCTAAGGCTAAACGGCGTGCTGACGTAAGTGCTGCCCTAGAAGGCTGTTCGAAACTAATGTAAACAGAGCTGCCTTCACTTGAAAGTGATGCCGTCTGAGGCAGCTGTCTATTACGATATCGAGGCAACTGCCTTCCATTTCGAACATAGACCACATTTCTCCTGTCTAAGCTTCTCTGCATTGGCTTCCAGTAAAATCCAGAATAGAATTTAAAATCATTCTTCTTACCTAAGTAGCTCTTAATGGTCAGGCACCATCTTATCTTAAAGAGCTCATTGTACCAGAGCACTGCGCTCCCAGAATGCAGGGTTACTTGTGATTCCTAGAGTCTCCAAAAGTAGAATGGGAGCCAGAGCGTTCAGCTATCAAGCTCCTCTCCTGTGGAACCAGGTTCCAGTTTGGGTTCAGGAGGCAGACACTATCTCCACATTTAAGAGTAGGCTTAAGACTTTCCTCTTTGATAAAGCTTATAGTTAGGGCTGGCTCAGGTGAGTCCTGAACCATCCCTTAGTTATGCTGCTATAGGCATAGACTGCCGGGGGATTTCCCATGATGCACTGAGCTCCTCTCTCATCTTCTTTCTCTCCCTCTGTATGCAACCTCATCCCATAAATACATGTTACTAACTTAACTTCTTCCCTTTCCAATAGTCTCGTGCTTTCTCTTCCCTCTCCTCTCTCCTCCTATCTGTTTCTGGCTGTGATTCTGGCTCTGGAGCTGTGGAGTCTGGATCTGTGGTTGCGAGTCACCTGCTGCCCCCGTGTTCCTGCTCGACACCCTCTGCTACAATTATTGTTACTAGTCCTATTTTTTTTATATTGTTATTTTAATGATTAACATTATGATTATTATCATTAACACTACTGTAAATATCTGTACCATTTTTCATTCAGGCTATAGGAACATTACCTTTACTGTCTGTACCTCTGTGTGAATATTGAGTAGGCTGCCTCCCTCCCCTCTCTCTCTCCTTCCATCGCCCTCCCTCTTTCTTTCTGTTCCTCTCTTGTCCTCTCTCTTTCTCCCTCTCTCTCTCTCACCCCCAACCGGTCGAGGCAGATGGCCGCCCACCCTGAGCCATGGATCTGCTCGAGGTTGCTGCCTCTTAAAAGGAAGTTGTTCCTTGCCTCTGTCGCCTAGTGCTTGATCTTGGTGGGAACTGTTGGGTTTCTGTAAATATCATCAGAGTACGGTCTAGACCTGCTCTTTTATGAAAAGCGCTCAGAGAGGACTGTTGTTGTGATTTGGCGCTATATAAATAAAATTGAATTGAAAAGTCAACTGCATTATGTAACTTACGTAACGTGGTTGAGATACAGTCTTACAACCACTATTTTAGCACTTTTTATGGCACGAATGGATCTTCCATTTCCGTGCTGGAGGACTGTGACGTTGCCATTGGATCATTAGACAAGAATGTAGGATTTGAGCTGCTAAATCCCCCAAAATAATGTAAACAAGAAGAAGATGACAATGACATTAGTGATGTGCGATACCACTTAATTCCTATATGATCCAATACCAAGTAATACCCAGCCTGGTATTGCCGATACTGATACCAATACCAATACTTTTTACATATTTTATTTCTAGTTTGATGTGACCTCCCTCCTCCCGTTTCTGTATTTATGAGAGAAATAAGGAGTAGGCTGAAGCCTTACCAATTCAAAATAATAATAAAAACTGCATAATGACAAGACATCAAAC